AAGAGGAAAAAAAGAGACCTCTACTCATGCTGTGCTTCCATGGTAGGACAGCACGAGAACAGGAAACAAAAAAACTCCTCTGCACAAAAAAGCACATAGATGTCCACAGCACAACTTTGTGAAAGACATGACAAGCCACAGGATTGGTTGGGGGGTGAGGAGTAATACGAAGTGAACACAGCAGCCGTCCTGCACAGCGCTACCATTCCAGCGCGGCACACAGACCCGCCGTGTTCCCCCGCAGGAAACAAGCATCGAAGACGTTTGGAAAGGGAGGGGGATGAGTGTGTGCTTATCAGTGTAAGTGTATGTGTATGCGTGTCCATAGTTCAGCTGAGACAGTGTCCTTCGCCCTGCCAGGCTAAGTAAACAGTCTTCCAGCCGACCCAGGTGGCCTTGCATGGAATGGGAAGGAACAGACTAAACACAGTCGTTATCAGGGAGTTGTTTTTCAGCTCCAGCCTCGAGACCGCCGCTGGCACCAAGGGGTATCCGCATGAAGTGATGGTGCTTTTTACTTTAGTGCGAACAGCTCACATGAATTTCAAAGCAGTTCTACAGTCCAACATTGGTCTCTCAATCTCCCGTTGGAGAGCCGCGATTCGTCATACTTGCGTTCTGTGATGTTGTCATTTCTTGTGCTCAAGGAGCCGATTTGGCAGTGTGCCTCCCCGAGATGTCATCCAATTTGCGCCCAGAGATCTTATTCCGAGCTAGCCCTTCCGAGATGTATCCAGTCTGCAGTCAGAGATCTTATTCTGAGTATTCACAGCAGCCGTAGCCTCTCCAAGATCTTATCCGTGCTGCACTCAATGAGCCCATTTTGAGAAACTCACGCCTCTCCCATCGTTCCAATTGTCAGTATTTAAGGAATCTTTCACCTCAAAGGCCCTACCACCGTCAATGTGTCAAGCAATCATATTTTTATTGGTCAAAAAAGGCAAAGATCAACCCAAGACTAACTAAATGAACATAACCCATAATACAACATGACATGAAAACACGAGAACTCATGAAAACACTGGGTCAAGTGACCCAGGACCATGACATAAAACCACAACTTAGAACATATAAAATATATACCTCTCCATAAAACACACTCTCCAGCGCAAAAGATGTTCCAAATGAACCTTACAGACTGAAACATATACACCCACTGCACAGGGAATTTCACTGTACTTTAACTTCACAGATTGTGGTGGCGGATGCTGTCCCCAAGCCCGGCGACTGGCCTTTTCTGCATGAGTCCAAGTGTGGGACCTGGAACCCTCGTGTTCCTCCTTGTATGCTCCACACTGTGGAGTCAGTTGGCCTATATCGGAATGTCCAGTCCAGTCGGGGGCAGGTATGTTACCCACAAACTCTGGGTGGAGCCAGTCCCAATCACCTCTTTACTGCTGTCTGCCTCTCACCTTTAGACACTGATGTTTTTGGGACAAAGTGTGGATGAGCACTACTAACCTGCAGTCGTGCGCTTATGTCACAGTTGTCCCCTCAATTTTAATAGCACTCTAGATTTCACAGTGGCACTGATTATTTACAGCATATACTCTCACATACTCTAATCACACCCAATAGGCCACCTTTAATACTCAAAAGTGGGGAGGGGAGAAGGCAGGTCTTCCTACACCGTGGCCAGTTGGCTCCAGGGTCACTGTTGGGCCATCCTTATAAGCTAGAATTAGCTAGCCTCATGTACAACAACATAACAACAGAAACCCATGGTATAAAACTTCTTTCAGAGAGCTTTTGGGATGACAGCCAGGAGAAATGGTCAGGACATGGTCATCATGTCCAGAACAAGCAGACATCACACAGAACTTGTCATGATTTCATTTTTCAACTAAACCAGTTGAATTGCTTACTGAAACTTAATATTAGTTATTTCCACTTAATATGATGAGTGCACTGGATTTCAGTTTTATGCCCTCTCTGTTTGGGAGCAGACAGGACAGGTCTTCTGAATTCATGCTCGGGGATGTGTATGATTGGTCTGCAGGGCAGTGTGGTGATAAACTACAGCAGCCCTTGCAAACCTGATAAAGCTAATAAGAAGAGAAGGACACAAATCAAATTACCATACAAGTAAATGCCATTTCTGACATTAAAGATGAAATAATCCTCGATGGCAGTGGTGATTTTGACTGTGGCACTATTGTATCCTTTGCTTATGCTGGCAGACTCATGAAAGATTCAGATTCATAAAATCATGAAAGTATAGAAAGCTGCAGATGGATGAATTCTTGAAATAATAACCACCAGTACAAAGTGTCAAAAAACACCTTTATTGAAAATTTTAAAAAAAGATTGCAGGAAATTAATACATTCATGTATTTTGGAAATATTTACCACTTTATACTCCATCTGAGGCAGGAATGTATTTCTCTAATCACAATGGTAACAGCTATATGAACATCATGTAATGCCAACCCATAACGATTCTAAATCCCACTCACACAATTAACACTATCAGAAATGATAACAACCCCTACCATTTCCACACTAATGAAAGGACACAACTTTGGCATTAGCACTGTCAGAGAACTTATTGCCACAAATGATTGACACCTGCTCCATCCACCCTCCTACAAAACACCTGGAGCTCCCATCTCTTCTCACAGACAAACTAAAAACAATAAGATGATCAAGAAGTTTCTAAAAACTCAGCATCTGTCCAAGTTCAGTGAGTATGAAGGTCTGACAACCACATGGCCCAGAATGGCAGTTGATTGATTTTAATTACCGTACTTTGGATTATTCCAGGTTGCAAAAACTGCTTACTGTAGTTTCTATAAACAGAGTCCATAAGCACAAACAGTCTACATTTGAGCCACACACACACACACAAAACAAAACAAAAAAACAAAAAAAAAAACCCACAAAAAAAACAACAACACACACACAACAAAGATGTGCAGCTGTTTTAAGGAGAACAAGAACAAATTAATAAAATACAAATCTTCAACACAAGAAGTAGATATAAAAAGGAGAAAATAAAGGTCACAATTTTGATATGTTTATGGACAAAAGACAGAATCATGTGTTTACACACAAGGTTCTGTCAGATTCTGTATGTTCAAATACAAATAGTTAAGAAGCAGAGGTGCTTTATCTAACACTGGTCTCTGTAACACCCTCAGGCAGGGCACTGAAAAAATTAACCATACTGTAAACATACTAGGGTGGGTGTGAGTACGTTACACCTGCAAGTTTGAGGAAAAATTAGCAGAATATTTGCAGGTTTACCCAAACGGCATCTGTTGACTTGGACAGAAATATTAAGAGTCATTCAATTTCTTGCCAAGGGATGACTACCAAGATGGTGGATACCCTATTCATCAGGCTCTAGCATCTTTTACTGACAAATGCTGTCCTTTCATCAGAAATAAAAGCTGCTACAAGTTTTTCAGTGAGCGAGTATACCATGGTAGTGTAAATACTGTTTCAGAAAAATTTGAAAAACCTCCAAAGAGACCATGTCTGCATCATTATTTCCTTAGTATTGATAAGATGTAAATAATGGGCCTCAAGACCCTGCATCCCATACCTTTTCCCTTTAGTTCCCGCACCAAAGCAGAAAAGAAAACCTAACATTAAAAGCAAGCCCCACTGCAAAGCCTGTGTTAAATGCAATACCTATTCCAGGTCTGTGGAACTAATGCAGAGCTTAATAATAATGCAGGTGGACAGCTGGAGGCAGATGGAAGAGCAGCCGAAAATTACTGATAACCACACTGATACAGAGGAGGAGACCTGGCAGTATTGACCTAACAGGAATGGGTGATGTGCTGGGCCCTGTACACTCATTTACAAAAGCACTTACAAAAATAAATATGTACAAGATAAGGTAGTGATGGGCTCTGGCGAAGACATGGCCATGGGCTTTCAGAAAAACAAACTTTTCTTCTTCCTGTCCCGATCTTCTTAGATTGTTCAGAGTTTTATGAAAAGCTGTTCAGAAAAAAAAGTGTTTCAATGGTTTTTCAGTATGTTGCCAATACAAATGCAGTCAGATCAGCCAATGCCAAGGATTAAATGACTTTGTAGGTTAGGTAGTCACAGAGGAGTGCAGGAATGGCCAGCGCCTCCACCTGCTGGGTGCTCATCACTCGACGGAGAGCCATTCTGCACATATGCTGCAGACTGGCAATGCTACGTGGACACTCCCAGAAGTGCACGCTACCATCACGAGTCCTAAAACATAAATCAAAAGGAGAAAAAACAGAAAACTGAGCTAATATTTCAGAGAGCTCTAAATGTAGTAAGGTGGTGCAAGGAAGCTGAGGGAAAAAATGATGAGGCTTCCTTATCGAAAGTCAGGATGTGCCCAGGTGTAGCTTAACTTCAAGTGTGTGTGTGTGTTAACAGAGCATCGCCAACATGTTGTGGCATCTTACCCAGCAGCAAGGACACTTCCTTGAGCAGAGAAGGCACAGCAGAGGCCATTAGAGACAGAGGCAATCGCCAGAGGAGCCCTTTCCTCAATGCTCCAGAAGCGAACCAGCCTATGTAGAGAGAAACAAAAAATAAATAAATTTAAAAAAAATTGTCACAACCTAAACTGCAAAAATTTTGCTACCACCAGACCAATATCTGACCAGTGACCAAGCCAAATGGTTTCCTGTACTTCTGACTGGTTAACACATTTGTCTTAAACCTTTCAATCTTCCCATTTTTCTCCAACACTGAATAATAATGTGGGAACGTTGTGAAGCTTCCTTTCAACACTTTCCCAGCAATTCAGTGCTTGGACAGTTAGCAGTCAGAGTAATTGATGGCCACCTTGTTACAGTCATGTAACCCAGGACAAGCCAAAGAGACCAACAGCAGCTCTGTGCTCTCTCTTCAACACTCATGTCTTCTTGGAAGTTTCAGAAGCAAACTGCACCAGACAAGCTTTTCTGCTATGCTCCAGTTGACTGTACAAACATACTCTCGAGAGGCCCAAAGACAAACACATGTGGGTTTGTCATGGCTCACTCTAGTTTTGTGTTCTAAAGTATTGTAAATAGACCACTTGCTTATATGCTGCTGAAACTGGTCATGCTGATGCATAAAAAAAAAGATCATTCTCTTGTTTCTCGCCTTCTTTGTCTTTAAATCATTCACCAGACAAAAACAGTGAAAAACAAAACAAACAGATTTTAAGAATAAATAAAAACATACACACATACATTAAATTATATTAATATTACCTGTCATCTGTAACACTGGCAATGTGTCGGCCATCAGGGCAGAAGCTCACAGAGCGAACCCAGCGGTCATTTGCTCCTCCTGCAAAAATGGGTGAAGGAGGGGGGAAGAGGTGGCTGGGAGAAGACAAAAGCAGAAGTTCATAGAGCATCAGTAATAGAGCTTTTTGGATTCAAATTTTAAAACTCGCCGTTTGGAATGAAAAAAGTCATAATTTAACATTTTTCATTGTACATCACATCGTTATAGCTTTTTATAAAGCATATTTATGGGCTTCATTGTGTTTGAACAGTGGACAGAAGATAGGAAGCTGGGGAAAGAAATCAGTGACTGACATGCAGTAGGTGGCTTCTTTTTGAAATTTTCATTTCAACCATGTGCAGTGGTGCAGTAAACAGTGAAGCGAGACAGCATTCCTTCAAGACCATGGTGCTACATATAACAGACAATCAACCCAGTACTACATATAGTGCAGTGTATATAATTAAAAAAAAAATAAAAAAAAAAATAAATTTTTTTTTCCTTATGCAGGCCTCTGCTGCTCACTCCAGAGCATGTCAAAAATAAATGCATTTTTGAGATTCATACGTTTCCTAGGTCATTATTGTAATTTGCTGTGGGACGAGACAACAGAGTGACATTCAGTTGGGCAGACTGAAGCAGGACAGGTTTGCCCACAGGAAGCGGAGATGAGAGTTGTTGAATTAATCACCGACTAAATCAAGGCAGATCAGTCGACTACCAAAATAATTTTTTCTTGCTGTACTACAGATGAAGACGAAATTATTAGTCCTCTTATGAAATTTAAAGTTTGTCAAAATTCTCAAATTTTCCCAATTCCCTTTTCAGCAAGCAAGGACTTTTCAACATATCATTTCTAAACATGCTAGGTTTCTTGAGAAAGCATAAATCATGTTTGCACAAAATAAAAGAATTAAGGATCAAGAAGTTATTGTGATCCCGCAATCACAGGGTGATCTAACAAAGCACTAGAATTTATTTACAAAAATGCAGCCTGTTCCCAGTGAGCCAATTCAGCTAAATGAGAAAAGGCTACAGGAGAATAAATATGCTTTTGATATAATGGATAACTGATAGAAATCCCTTGGCACTGTGCAAAGGGTTCTGAGAATTGAAATCTAGGTGGGGTGCAGGATTTATCCAGAGGAAACCGCATTATTATAACTATTCCACCTGAAATATGTCAGATCACAAGTTATTGTGCTACATGTGCAAATGTACAGATCACATTTTCATAGCACATAGCAACATTCAGGCATTAATATAACACATTTACACATATTCATTGATAGCTGTGTTTTCAAAAACATTTCACTTTTATTCGCTACAGAGTCAGGAAAGAAGTTGCTTGCTGTTTGTGCACTGCTGAGAAAAAGACAGCTCAGTTTAATTAATTTCTGCTTCTGCTTTAAAAAAGCAGCATTATTGAGGAGCAATAAGTGGGGCTCACTTGTCAATACTCAGCGTGAGGACTGAATGAAGAGTTTTAGGACAGAACCAAAGTATTGGCACTGGGATCACAACTCAGTCATCCACAGAAAGTCCTAACATACATGTGCCGATCACATCTCCCCCACAAAACTCAAACTGCGCCTCTTTAGTAAACCCAGTCAAAAGGCAGCTTTGGGCTGCAGCAGATGTTAGTAAATATGTCCCTAAAACTTCCTTTTGCTTTAAAAGTGCAGTTGTCATTTAAATAACTTGCATAAAACCTAGTGGTGAATAATCATGTCTCAGTAGATTCAACACAGCGAACACTCGGCATTACATTCTTAAGGAGACTAGTGTAAAGCCGTTCGGATTCTCAGCGCACTCCTCTTCTCTTTTCCCAAGTCCTTATCTCACATTTCCTTGATCTCAATTAAACCTCAACGTCAAGGAAACGAGTTAGGCAAAGCCAATGGGGGACTTTTGGAACACTTTCTCTAAAGGAGATTTAATTTAATTTATTTTAGTTTACTTAGGGCTGCCGCTCAAAAGAGCAACATTTTGTTTACCAAACAAATGTGTACTAACATAATATTGAATATCTGTGTTGTTTGGATTTCTTCTTACCCCAGTTCCAGGAGGATTGTGGCCTTATGGTGGTCCCAGACAATCACTCGGGTGTCATAAGAGGCGGTAGCTAACAATGCTCCATCTGGCGAAAACTCACAAGACACCACATCATGGTGATGTCCCTCCAACTTTCGGATCAGCGTGAACTTATCCATGTTCCATAGGAACACCTGCAATAAAGAATGACACGTTATAGCCCATGGAATGATTTAGACTGTATGACTATAGATGTGTTATCTTACACTAATTATCACTAGATGCACAAAAATCAACTAGAAATTAAATTAATTAAATTAAAAGGAATTAAATCAGAAAAATAGTTATGCTCAAATTATGCTCAGTGTCACTATAATGCTTTGTAACCTTAAACCAGGCAGAAAAAATAAATAGCAGAGCCTTGCTAACGTGCAGTGTGCTACACATCACCAACACTATGCCAATAAGAACACTTTCCTACAATGACAATAAAAATAACAAACATTTATATAACTGTAAAGCTTCTACATTAGAATTTACATTCATACATCTTTCATTACATCAGTAAATGAGCTAAATGTACACTATTTTAATTAAAAAAAAGTCTACACAAAAAAGAGAAAATAAAACAAGTAGTAACTTAAGGTAACATAAAGTTACTCCACTGGTTTCCCCTTTCAGAGATTTAGTTCACTGTGTTTACAATAGGCTCGCATCTCCGGCAGAAGCCTACGAAGAGAGACTGCAAGAGAAAAGAATATTTATGGCCAAAGGATCGATACCTCTGGCAGAGTACACATATGCACGCACATGCGATTCGCGCGTGCCTGCACACACAAACAGTCACGAACACACACACACACACACACACACACACACACACACACGCAAAAAGTGACAATCTGCATAAGCCTTTTTCTTTTAATGTCAGCCATGGTCAGAATGTTTATTAATAATGTCTTTGATTTGTGGCATTTATCACAGGACTGTACGAGTATGAAACTTTTAGGGCCTGCCACTGACTAATTATAGGAAACTATAAATGATGCTGGTCGTTAAAACCTTATTTAATGGTCTATAAAAAATACAGCTTGCAATCTAATACTACGGTTTAATCTTTCTGTATGGGTTCTTTTCTTTTTTTGTCGTCATTTTTCAGTTAAAAGAAACAACATTTTTCACAGCTGGATTCCTGAAATGATGGCAGAAAGGCTGAGGTAAAAAAAAAAGAAAAAAAAGAAAGAGCATAAAGTATTGCTGCTCCCTTTTATTTGTTTAGCGATGGCAGTGCATGTGTGTTTGGGTGGGGGGTGGAGCATAGGGCCACCATTTACATGACAGTTTTAAAACTACAATTAATAAAGTAAATAGAGCAACCGCGACAGCAGAAGTAGACAGACACGGAGCAGCACCTACGTACAGAATGACCTTGCAGGTCAGGATGCCAGGCTGCCCCTGGCCAGGCCTTTGGGCATTGCGCACTGTGCGTCCATGGTTTACACCAGCTGCTCAAAATGTCAGCGCAGCGCTCCTTTGAAAACCAATCACACACTGAGTTTTACCACCACCTGTGACAAGGAGAGCAAGACACACACTGTAGGGACATAAAACCTAACAAAACTATCACCACGTTAAGAGTAATCTAGGTTTGTGATACTATGCATAAGGTTAGCCAAAGCTGGCCAGTCCATGGAATTGCTATTCAGCAACATATTTGACTTGTAAATGATTTACAATGATTTCGAATTTTTTAAAATGAAAAAAGTATTTTTGGGGCAATTTATGTTTAAGTTAAACATTCCCCAGTATTAAAGAGGTTTTTTTGTTTTGCCTCTCCCACTTCCATGTCCATACTAAAAGATTAACTTCAGCTATATAACATTCATAAAAACAATTGTCTTCTTCATACTTCATGCATACTTCAGAACAAAATCCCTTTTTCACAGCATACAAAAGCCAAACAGAATCTAGATCCAAGCACTTGACTGTTGACACCGAGCACAGTTTATATTAAAGGTAGACAAAGAGGTTATGGGGTCTAATTGAGGTTTGATTGAGCATAACTGATCACAAGCAACTGCACAAAGATTAGCTAGGACACTCATAAAAATAAGTACAAAGGAACTTGTTTACGCACCGACTTTCCTGCACCAACCGAGCACAGAATGGAAGAGTCAGGGGAGAAGGAGCTGCAGTACACCCAGTTCTGATGGCCCCTCAAAACCTTCACCATATTACCTACAAGAGAAAATTACCGGGCTCATTACTCTGAGTGCAACATTTCTGTCACAAAATATATGCCAGTCTTACATTTTGATCATGTTTATATTGTTTTATTTAATCAATATTTAACCAGGATATTTAGTTTCCCGTGAAGATCGTGATTAGAAATAACTGGTCACTATATTTTTGAACCACTGCCGTGTTAAGAGTTAAGTGTTAGCTGCATATTTGCTAAAATTGCTGCTACTCATCTACTAAAAAGTAAGCAATTGGTCTTTTCACAACACTTATTTACACTGCTCTTTTATTTTGCGATATTATTTAGTTGCATTAACATTTTAACTGACACAATGTATGGAAGGATTCAGGGTTCTGGTGTTGCATCTAAGGTTCCCATGATCTGCAAATACTCTCAAGGCAGCATGTGGTTAGTGTTTTAAGCGAGATTCATGGTTCAGCATGGGTAGCGTTCTGGGGTTGGGCCTTCAAAGAGCTCCATTGTCAGATAGAGGCAGTTTACAAAGTTTGTGGTACTATGGGTCACGCTTGCTTGTGCTATTGTTGGTCTGCCAGCAAGCTGCAGAGAAGAGCGACGTTACAACATACAAATTGCTGATATGAAACAGAGTGTTAAAAACAATGGAAAGTGCTTACTGCAGCTAGTTTTGCTTTTTGCAATTCTTCCATTCCTAGTGAACTCTGTTATCGCTTTCCTTTCTTATTCTGGCCCACTTGTCAACCAATAACCAGACACAGAGGTCATATGTATCCAGTCATGTGCAGCTAGGATTTTGGAAAACTGCAGGACTTTGTGTGTCAGGATGTCTGCTCTGCTAACTATCTAAACAGCAGTATGATGAATGCAAACAGACGCATTATTTGACATAAATTAATCTTGAAGCAGCATCTGGGTAATAAATGGAACTAAGACTCTTGTGTTTGTCAGGTTGCATTTTCTCAACATTAATAATAATAATAATAATAATAATAATAATAATAATAATAGGGACTTATCACTTCACTTCTTCATTGTGAACTCAGTGTAACTGTAAACACTGTAAACACTGTTTGCTTTTCTGGTTTTAAAGACCAGGGGCCTTATATTTCAACTGTGAACAGCATGGTCTCAGTTAAGAAATGAGGCTATTACTTCTTTGCACTGGAACGAAAAGCAAAGAATAAGGTTGGTTTTAAAGTCAAAAACAGCTCATCCACTTACCATCATCTTTGAGATCCCATACACGAAGGGTCTTATCTCTGGATGCTGACACCAGCATCAGACTGCCATCAGGAGCAAAAGTTAAGTCTCGTACTACATCTGTATGATCCATCAGATTCAGCAACAGTTTTCCTAAAGAAAGCAAACCAAAGAAAGTAGATTAAAAGAAATGTCAGTCTTCACAGGCAACAACACAATTTCAGTTCTAAAGCTCCAGCTTTGTTTGTTTCGGGGACGAAAACCACAAGGTTAAAAATGAACGAAAAACTGATTTTAATTGCCAACTGAAAATTAAGAAAAGATACACTTGTGTTGCAGATAACAATGGTACCTGAAAGACAGGCATAATCAAGGACATAAGGTGTTAACTTGAGGAACAACCCTCAACTAGACTTTCTTTTGGAGCATTTAGCCCTAGGGGTTGGGTGGGATGGAGAGACTGCTGATTTCTCACGGTGCCTCCAAAGAGACTTTTTTCTTTTTTTCCAATTTTTTTTTTTTAAATTAAGAACAAAATCCGACATCTATAATTCCACAGAAGCCACACATTAATCAGATAAATACTTTTAGAAATTTTGTTCGTTCACTGCAAAGCCGAACTACAGAACTGTAGCTCCATCTCCAGCTTTAAATTGGTCGCATATTTGCATATCTTCCCAATCTACAAACCAAATACCAAAAAGAAAATATATTAAAAAAAAAAAAGTCTCTAAAGGACTGTTGTTTCATGGCATTTTAAATTCTAGGGTAAAAATCCTATAATAATACAGAGAAATTTTAATTGCAGCATTGATGAAACTGGGATGGGGTTATCACAAGGGACAGGAAAATTTGTGGTACTACAAGGAAACAGCTAGAGAAACATTAAACAAATTAATTAGCTTAATTGGCAACATTGTGTGCCCCAGGGACCATCTAGCTGGTTATCAGTGATCAGTTTTCTGACGGTATGGGGGCACACTAGTGCCTATGGAATTGGCAACTTGCTCATCTGGAAAGACCATTAGCCTCCTAGGACCTGGCGTCCACATATGTGGACATCACATTTCAGGTTTCGGGTTCATTTTTCTCAGAAACAAAAATCAGGCAAAAAAAAAAAAAAAAAAAAAAAATCTGGTAATTCTTTGTTTTTACATCTTTTCCAGGAAAGGCATAGTATACTTCATCAAGGTAACGCTAAAGCTAAAACAGCATGGGTTTGTAAGGAGAAGAGACCAAGTGCTGAACTGGCCTGCCTGGAGTCCAGATCTTTGGCTATCTAAAAACGAATCATGCATATCAAGAAATAAAATAAAAAATAAGTCAAAGATGCAGGAATATTGAGTGGAGAGAATCCTGTATTAGACAAAAATGAGACAACAATCCTCTCCCAAAAGTCCACCAACTGGTCGCCTCAGTTTCCAGATGTTTATGGGCTGTCAAAAGAAGGAACTAGGACAGTTGTAACCATGACCCTACCCCTGACTTTATTTAATGTGTTGCTGCCATTAAATTCAAAATGACAACATTTTGTTTTCTTCAAATGGCACGGTCTCTCAGTTTACACCTTTGATATATTTCCTATGCAAATAAAATGTTCAACATTTGCAGAGTTGGGTTTATATTTCATAGATTCAAGTATCTAACATGATTATCAACTGGTGAATCTGAAGAGAGCTACTTCTAATTAATGATGATGTGTTCTCACCAGTGTAAACATCCCAAATCTTGATGCGACCATTGTTGAGGCCTGTTGCCAGGAGCAACTGATCCTGTCCAAACTTGAAGCGATGCCACTCAATGTTGACACAGCGGCTGTGCTTTTCTGGTACTGAGGAACCAAAGGCCAATCCCCAGACAATATCACCACAATCTATGGTGTGTTCTGGTGGCTGGTCTGCTGCTGGGACTACTTGACCACCATTGCTGCTCTGACGAGACAAATGCCGAGGGCTCAAGGCATTGGTATCCTCTTCTCCATGGTCCACTGAACTACAGCAAAAAAAAAGAGTGGAGAAAGAAGGATGTCAATTATGGAACATGGTCAAAGAAAGGAAAGGTAAAAAGCTAATACAAGTCTAAAACATGTAGCCTAACTTTGGTAGATGTTTCCAGTAGAGCTGCAGTGATTCAGAGTAACTCTAATAACTTGATTATGAGAAACCATTGATGCAAATTCCTTGCTATGATGTTTTATTTAAATCCATACAACCAATACAACAGTCAGTAGTGACCATGTGTCCATGAGCACAGTGTGACGTATCACATGTGTAGCAGTCATGATTTGATGGCGGGATGGAGGCAATTGCTCTTGGGTATACATGAGGCCCAGTTTTTAAAGGAAAGATTGACTGCAGCAATCTACTGCAGATGTCAAGAGATCTTAGTTTCCTTAACAAAAACAGGTGACACACTCCCTTTTTGTATAGTTCATCTATAAGCAGGGACCAGTCCAGTTTGTTTATCTCGGTGTAAAACCATCCCAAAAATTTACACAGGGTAAAAAAGGAGGCCTGAATTTCCTTGGCTTGGCTCAACTGATGGAGCTGGTTGTCCTGGAGTAGTTGGTGGTGGAGTTTCCGGTAGGCACCACCCAGTGTGTCTGCTGCCACCGGCCCACCAGATTGGACACAGCGGTAGCCCTGGCAGGGGCCATCTAGTGGCCCGGCAAATGTGAGTCGCTGGGGCTGCTACATCCTTTGCCATGGCGGCTGGTGGAAACAGAGCAACAGCCACTTTCTCCAACTAACCTAGGCTGTATCCCAATTCAGGGTCTGCAGCCTCAAAGGCCGCATTTTAAGGCCGATTACGTCACAGCGACGCGACGAAGGCTGCCCCAATTCAAAGGCTGCTCGAAATGCAGCCTCAAATGAGTCCTTTATTTCCCTGAATTTTGAGGATGTGGCGGTGTAGACTTCGTGGCCCAACATATCCCAGAATGCATAGCGCGGCAGTGTGTGTGGATAATTTTGCTGGAAAAAAACGTCAGAAGAGGGGCGCCCAAAGAGTAAACTTTTAAAAGTAAGTACTGAATATTATGTCACTTATTTTAAATGTTTAATAACGAAGAACAAAACATTACTGTTGGCCACATGTCGGCAAAGTTATGTGACATTAGTGATGTTTGTACTAACTTGGTTTTAAAGCCTTTACTTTAAAATATACGCCGTTCAATAGTCGACCTTAATCTTACAGAGAATGTGATGATTTTATGGATAATTAAAGTCAGTCATATATCCACAAACACAACAAGCTGAAAGTCAGTGATGCTGCTCGGTTTGCAGTCCTGAATATCACGGCACAAGCAGGATTCACTGCACTGTTAATGTTAGCTATGTTATATTGCTGCCTCTGTTCAGTGGTGTCGAGCCAAACGGACTTTAACGTGTGTTTGAACGAGCTGACGGTTCACTCGTTAAGCTGAAAGAAAGATGCTTCAATCACAGCAGTCACACATGTGTCCACTGTACCATCTGGGAACTCTTCTTGTTTAGCACTCGTAATAACACAAACACTAAATCCTCCTTCACTCCTCGCATTCCACCAGTATGTGAATACGAGAGTGAATGAATAGTGGCATTGTAAAGCGCTTTGGGTGCCTTGAAAAGCGCTATATAAATCCAATCCATTATTAATATTATTATTATTATTATTATATTCTGAGGTAAGTTGATCTATAGTGTTACATCATATTCTATAAGGATGTTATGTGTTTGTAGACTTTCTGCCCAGTTTGACCCATTTAGCAGAAGTCAGCCTGTTTAAGGCTCTGACATCTGTTCTGTATGACTTACAGCAGTTATGACATGGTCTGATTTTCTCACCCAATAAACAAATATTTAATATATCAGTCTACTCTTCATTTCATCAGAAACAGTTATCACAGCTCGTACATTTGCTTTTTCCACATATATGTAAGCATTGAGCCAAATGTAATAATGCCAACATACTGAAAGAACAATATTTGTCTCTTATATATGATACATCTATATATACACTGTCAAAGATACTTGTCTTTGAGTGAAGATTTAAGGTGATAGGACATATAAATAACTGCAACTTGAATCTTTACTGAAGCTCAGTATTTGACACAGAGTTCAACCCCCCGACTCCCTCCCCCAACCCAAGAGAGACTTACTGCGTACTGGTAAGGTGCCAAAGGGTTATACAACAGGCTATGGTTCATAAATATCCTATGGTACCAGTGGAAATTTTATATATGGGCAAAACTTAGAGGCTAAATGATACGGGCAGCATGCACCTATTGAATATGAGAATGAACTGGCATGGTTTCAGTAGGCTAATAGGGCAGTGTGTAGGGGTGTGTTCTCAGCTGGTAGGGACACAGGGCTGTGCTGAGCTCAGCGGTGACATGAGATCGTTCGACATGGACTCTGGGGGGAGGAGGAAATGGCAGGGCTTTCATGGGAGACCCTGCCAGCTCCAGCAATTAGCTCCAATGAAGGTGGAGCTGGTGAACCAGCTGGCCGTTCCAAAAGCACCTTTGCAGTGCCACAGCGCACTTGTCTTGCAAAGAGTGTAGTACATGCACAGTTTCAGGTCATCTCTTGAGTTGGGATGCCGAAAGAGATACCAACTGACCAGGGCACATTGTTTATGTCTAGGACACCTAAAGAGGTGTACAAATTACTGGCCATTAAATCTGTTCAGACCGGTGTCTACCACCTTCAGACAGACGGGTTGGTGGAGCAGCTGAATAAGCCTTTGAAATCCATGATTCGTAAGATCATATAAGAGGATGAATGCAATTGGAACCACTGGCTGGACCCTATGTTGTTTACACTGCCAGAGTTCCCTAGGACTCCATGGGATTGTCTCTCTTTGAATTTCTGCTCAGCAGGAAGCCACATGGGGTGTTGGACCTAAATAAAGAAAGCTGTGAGGAAGGGCCAAACCCTGCTAAGAATGAAATTCAGTACATTCTGGACTTGAGAGCAAACCAATACACATTGGGTAGGTTATCTGAGAAAATGTGCTCTAGGCTCAAGAACATCAGCAGCGCCTGTAGAATAGAGAGGCTAGTCTCAGACAATTTTCAACCGGAGAAAGCTCTTGTATTACACACTTCTTTTAGCTCAAAGTTACTCGCCACGTGTCGAGGATCCTACATGGTCACACCCTATATGATAAAACCCAACAAAAATAAAGTTTGTGTAAAGATCAGAGCTACCAGACCAGTTGAAGCGCATGTTCCAGAATCTATAGATTACAAGTACAATCTATACTTTACTCAATACACATCAGCTGAGTGGTTTCAAATATTTTCAAAACAAATAGCAAACCAACTCAATTTGGCAAAAAATCAAAAATCATGAGGTTATGCATTTCTTCAGGGTGACTTAGATGTTCTGTAAAACAGTTTAAACTTGTACATAGTCTTCATTGATCTAATGACAAGTTATCAAAAGTTCAAAGAGATCCTACATGTAACCAATGCAGTCACACTACTGCATCCTTGTCATTTCCAAAACTAGATAGAATTTTTGGAATTCCATTTTGAGACCCTAACCTGTCTTTCACTGCATCATTAATAGCAGAGTAATAGAACTTGTGAGGTATCTTGAAAAGCATTTACAAATAAAATGTATTACTATTAATTTAAACTCCACAATTCTGTAAAACATGTCACATATTTATTAACTCCAATTCAAAATGTGATGTGGAACAAAATTCCTCTTTGCCTGTATGCACAAACTGCACACAACACTCTGTTGGAAAGCAGAAAATAGAATGTCATTAAAGACTTCTTAGGAATCTATTTTGTTAATATAATATTTATAATATTGATTCTCTCATTAAATAAAGAATTTTTTCGTTACTGCATAATTTCATATTAAAGTGGTATATCTGGTAAAATGGCACCAAGTAGATGCAGGACTTATTTCTGTTTTGTTTTTTTTGTTTTTTTTATTGTTCTGTTTGACTGTTTGAGTGTCTGAAGAGCAAAAGCATGAGACTGGAAATATTACACTGATTAATTTAATTAACAAGTACCCAAAATTAACAGTCCCATTAATAACTGCATTTTGAAAGCCATGTGGTCAAGGGTGGAAATGGAAAAGGTTCCTGGAGAAAATTTTGCATCTGCCACAAAAATGCAACACCACATTGAGTTTTGCTCTTTCTTATAATAAAGGCATTTAGAGCAGACTAGCAGCAACCCAGCAATTATTTGCAAACATTTGCCAGTCTGTCCAAGATTGTCTGCAGTCTGTACAAGTCCAACTAAGATTAGCTGGCAACGGGTTGCCTCTCATCAAGCAACCTGTACAATTACCTCTCAATTGAAATTGCAAGTAGTTGCACAGTAATTCAGTGTGCAGCACCCTCAACCTCTGGGTGACTGCCTACTTACAATCAGTTCCAGATAGAAAATCAAGTGTTATCACACCATTGTCACACAGAGGCTGCTGTCCTTCTTTTCCTTTAATGTCACTGTGGCCCAACCAGCCACAGCCCTGATGGCCAGGAACAACAGGCACTTCTTTCTAAAGATAACTTCAACATGTGGCTCAGAGTCACAAGACCCTGGTAAGCGGAAAAACACACCATTAAGCAGAGAGTGAGCTGGTAATTCAAACCACGTGTTCTTGGCACTGACAAATGCATCTGATCTTTTAGCTTGAGGTTGGCAGAGACTGAATCAGAAGACAATTAAACAGCTAGAAAGCATGCAGAGTTTTACGTGTATGTAATCATGTAAAACTCATTCTGCTCTCCATCCTGCAACACAGAACAGCAGCTCATGCACCAATGTAATACTAATGACCAAATTCAGCTGGCTGTTAATCTCAAGAATTTGCACATTTCCACAACACCAGCCATTTGTTACCTAAAAGCAGTTTTCAACATGGAGGAGAAGCAGCTGTAACTGTGAGCCCCTCCTGCATGGCTGAGCTCCTCACCCCATCTCTAAAAGAGATGCCAGCCACCCTTCGGATAAAGCTCATTTCCATCACTTGTATACGCAATGTACAATGGACAGTACAGCGTCCGCATCACGTAGCCGAAGCCGCAATCTGTCTGTTGATCTATCCCTCCCCTCTCGAATAAGACCATGAGATACTTGAACTCCTCCACTTGGGGCAGCAACTTATCCCTGACCCAGAGTGGGCAATCCACTCTTTTCTGGCTGAGGACCATGGCCTCAGACTTGGAGGTGCCAATTCTCATTCCTGCTGCTTCTGTATGAATGTCAAAATTAAATCATGCGCCCCCCAAAAGCAGCCCCAGCAATGGTAAATGCTCTGTTGTATGAGATAGCACAAAAATTTAATTGTAATCCAATCAAAAAATAATTAAATTAATTATCCTAAAAGCCTCAGTGTCTCATTTTTTTCCCATAAATTTGAAGATTTTTATAATTAATTGGGGGTTTATCTAAGAAGCAAAACAACAACACAGAAAACATGTACTCTATTACTATAGAAAACAGGCAAACATACTACCAAGGTAGTTATGATAGTGATATAAAAAGTGCTTGGTGCTTTAAGAAAATAAAGAGAAAAAGACATGAAGGGAAACAAACCAAAAGAAACTTACAAGCTGTTCAGGCATTTTGTCCAAGGGATAAGCCTGACAATGCGATGCCCCTGAGACCAAGCAAAGTAGGAACCATTGGGTGCAAAGGCCACTGTCCAAGCTTCACGGCCAGACTTCTGGTCAAAGGGAGCAACAGGCACCAGGAGTTCGCCAATGAACTTTGCCTTACCTGGAAAAAGCAATAACATAACTTTTTTTCAGCTACATTCTGTAACAAACTGAATGTGCGTCATTTTTCAGCCCAAATAATGCACATGAAACTAACTTCTTTATCTGGCACAGACACAGTTTGTTCACTGGTGCAGATACCTGATTGGCTAATGTGCAAACCATACCATTGTACAACGGGGGAGGGGGGGAGACATAGTTATATTCTCTCAGCTATAATGGGCTATACGCTGATATATGAACTGTCTACAATTAACCTCTGCAGATCCACTATTAACTTTTTACGTTTGGAAATGTACTTTTTTCAAGTCCATTTCTACAGGATATCAAAGTCTACGTGGCAAAGTAACCTTTGGTTAACTTAAGTCTTAAATTCCGGATACACAACATACTGGCAGTTTCATAACTGCATTCTTCACATAGCGCACAAAATGGAATCGTTGTGCTTTGTGTTCAGGTCTGTATATATATCGGGGTTACTTGGTAAGACCAATATATAAGTTAATGTCAACACATTTTTGCAACAAGTAAAATAACAGCAACAATAAAACAAATACTGCATTGTTTACATGAGTGAGTAGATAAATATAACTCCGACAACGTCTATACAGTTATGAAGGTTGTCTTTTTGTGTGCAAGAATGTGTGAAGGTACGTGCATTAAGTAAACCACTAAAGGCCTACATGGGGCTGACGTTTATCAATTCTGATTTTAGGATTAAATAAGACGTTTAGTACCTAACTACGGTTATAGCTAATAAATAAGCAATAAATAAAAGTACAGTTAACATGCTAAAGCTACGAGCTCGGTTTATTAGCCATGCAACGTTGGCGTGCAAGCACGCACGTACATCCCTGGGCGGCTATGGTTCTAGCTGTTGTAGGAAGAATGGCTCTCGGCCACTGTTTGTATCAGCAAACCAGCAACAGGGAAACGCTGCACTAACGTATAAAATGGTTTTTATCGTGGATATGCATCAAAATAACCAACCGCACTGAGCTAATATAACAGCAGGGATACATACGTATATAAACCCAAGAAACACTGACAAATAAACGACATCTCTTAACTTAATTAAACTTTGCTTTACCGGTTTAAGCTAAGTAGCCACTAATTCGACATCTTATTTAGTAACAATGTTTTGAAAGTCCACATAGTCTGGTGGAAACAAAGAAAGTTTTACAGTTTGGCATTAGATAAAAAGCACTAAGACTAAAATACCAGGACATCATTCAACGTTCTCACCTGCATTCACAAAAACAATACATGTAAAATGTTTTACTTACCTAAATCATTTTCGTTCACAGAGTCTGGGAAGCTTGCCATCTAAATAAGGGCACAGACCTAAGAAAAAGTCGGACACGCACTATGAAACAAAGATGTTTGACAGAAATCTGGGTGCGGATTTATACGGCGAATTTTTCGTTAAAAACGTATGCTAAATTCGGTTAAATCCCTCCGCCAAGCTTCACGTCTGGGGTGGAAAATACAATCTTCGTTTGGCGCGTCTTTTTACTTGAGTACTTCGGCAGTAGACGTTATCTTTGAATCTATAATTATATTGGTAGTGTTTTAACACGTCGCGTTAAAAACTATATGACTCGCTACGCTTTAGATTTCTTACGATCCGTAAAAATACAATGGCTGCCAACTGAACGGTACAAAGGCTGAATAACACCGTGGGAGGGGTTTCATTCTACGTCAGCACAGTTGCCATGGCAATTTAGCCCCCCCCCCCTTTTTTTGTCTGACGTGTCCTGCGCATCCAGTCATTTGACGTTGTCGGCAACTAACAAAATGGCGCATCCGTAACCATCTGATGGAACACTTTTTTCATGTTTATGTCACAATTGACGCCACTCACAGACAGCTACTCAGTTTACCAGTATATCTTTAAAAATTACAATATTGTTTTCAATTCATTTTATTTATTTAGCACCAATTCCCAACAACAGTTGCCTCAAGAAAAATATCTTACAACAATACAGAGAAAATTGTCCCGATTATCGATTATCCCCTATTAGCAAGTGCTTGGTGGCAGTGGGAAGGAAATACTCCCTTTTAATAAACTTCAGTCAGAAACTGTAATTGAAGATATATGTGACCACGGAGTGTCATCATGGTGTTTACCAATTTTAGAACTGAGTAACTGAGCAAGAAGGGCCATAGTCAAGACGGTGACCAAGAACATAACAAAACTTCTGCAAGGACAGAAAAACCTGCCACAAGAGGAGCCATCTCATCAGCTACAGCCTGTTTGAAGCTAATCCAAATGTTTTTAAAACTAAAAGAGTAAGAGAAAAAAATATTTTAAGATATGAGATCAAATGTTCATGTTTTTGAGCTGAATTACAGGTACTCCATTGAACTTCATGGCAATCCTTCACATTGTGGTGGCAACATTATGTTTTGAAGCTGGTTCTGACCATCAGTGATGTGGTGAGTGGCCAGAATGACGGAAAGATGAATGCTACAAACAATCCTCTGAGAAACTGGTTAGACTTGAAAATGGGGTATTAGTTCGTCTTTCAGGATAGCGATGACCTAAAGTATACTGGCAACACAAAATGTTACTTTATAGAAAAAAAATCTTTATTGGTTGTGTTAATGTATTCACAAATACAGTTTACAGACAAATCAGGGTAGAAAAAAATTACATAACCATCACAAAATGAGGAAGAAACAAATTCTCTAACCTTCTTCAGACGCCAAGCAATTGAGCCAAATTGTAAAGTTACTAGTTGTAGCTGTATTCACACATAAATTTCAGAGAGCAGAATTAGTTTGGGATGTTCAGTTGTCCTTTCTCATATATACACATGGGCATATACATGTATACATTTAATATGCATTTGTAAATAACCTGCTTTTACCCTGCTGGAGATACTCTAGCAATGATTGCACTAGAATATTACCTACAGTATTCACACAATGGCACAATCCACTTCACATGGACTTTGTACTAGCGAGTTGGCAGGTTCAAGACTGGCTAATATAAGATCCAAATGCATTCTTACAAGCACGAGGGTGTGGTGTATGTGCAAAAACAAAAGAATTTGAAATCAAACAATAGACAGAGTTTTCTGTTTCGCATTTTAAAGAACATGGGACCCAGTAAATTTTACCTACTTAAAAGTGTTCAACGTGTTGTATGTTCCTTGCTCTCTCTGTATAGTCTTACAGGTGCGTTCATAAGCCCATGTGCACTGTAAACAACTCACCAGTATGAAACTTGTTGTTTTTTTTCTGGCTATCTAATATGACTGATGCAGCTGAACATGTAGGTATGTAAAAAGGATTTCTCAGCTCTTAGTCTACTAGTTAGTATATTCCACAAAAATACATGTTAGAAAATTTCCTTGTATCTGCCTTATTTTAATGGAACGCTAATGTTGTTAATATACACTAAAATAAATCAAATTGATAACATTTAGATTTGATCTGCAAATTTTGAACCATTTTCAACATCCAACATTAAAGTGAAAAATGTTGCTTTAAATTAGTTAATTATAACACAATTCAGTTACAGCTGTAATTATATTGTATTTCCACTTTTAATCTTTTACCTGATTTAAAAAAAAATGTACGTAGTAAATATAAGGTTTTTTTATGGGATGTTTATGTTTGTTTGGTTCTAAAAACAAAAAATAAACAAAAACATATATCCTTTGGATTCAGTGTTTTGGAAGACTAAGTATTGAGTATAGCAGTACAAACATTACAGAAAAAAAGTCTGAAATCAGAAAACCTGATTTGCTATTGCTAAATGGCTGTTTCATAAAGTTCAAATGAAAAAGAAAAGTATTTCTGGTCTCTGTTTCAAATGGGCAATCCATTGTTGCTTCGGTGAAATAACAGATTTTTGTGCTTCTGTTTGTTAAGATATCTAGTGTTAGACTTCCCTGAGGAGGAGAACACAAAGTATCCTTAAACAACAACCAACCATCCTATATAAATCAGAAGCATTGCCTTCAACTACCCTGTAGGACATTATGCTGCTGTTACTATTCCTGTTGTGCACATTATGCTACATTTAATCAGCCAACAGGATTTTGAATGCATTTCCTACATGTTTTTAGGAAGTGGGTGAAAGGTCAAACAAAAAGCCCATTCAGGCTTCCTGCCTCTTTACAAAACTGATTAAAGCTTTTGTTTATTCTTCTAGGTCCGACATGGAAACCAAGTTTCAGAATCAAACTGTCAAATATTCAAATTTGACAGTTTGACCTGCATTTTACAGTAACATAATCTATATGAGAAACAAAACAAGGACTACAGAAAACCTCATCTAACACTTCACCTGATTCTCATCTGGAAATTGTCCCTTGAAAATACACCATATGTCCTAACATCGATACTTTAAATTGCTGACTTTACTACACAACAACATAGCCTCATCTCTTAAAGGACCAGCACAGTGTTTGGCATGTTTCTTTCTGTTAAAGCTGTTTTTGTTTTTGTGTTTTGCCCTGGTGCAAAAAACAAACAAACATTAAAATCAACACTGACATAATATCAACATTTTTTCTAGCATTTCTTTCACCAGGAACACAAAATTCTTTTGTCCAAACACAGTTCTAAAGATAGACCCATTGACATCAGTGACCATGGAAAGGATTACCACAGGTTCTGTATGCTGTGATGTGTAGACAGACATCCATAACTTAAATTCTTCTGTTACATCCATGTTAAGTTATGTTCAATATGGTCTGAAAACTTCCTGTAAGGCACCATGAATTCTTGAGTTTTTGATTTCTTTTAAAAAACAAACCAAAATCTGCAATTTTAGAGGCCAAATGCTGCACTAGGTTTACCAGCCAATCTTTATCTATCTGCTACTTGTGACACATCAGGTAGTTTCTTGAAAAAGACAAAACTAGTGAGGTCAATATTGATGAGACACTGACAAACCGAACTTCAAAATTAACCTTTGCAAAGTAATTGGCCAGAACACGCCTTTAACACTGCAATGGTCCTTTGAGAAATTACGTATTTGACATCACTGACAAGTAAAGTTTACTCATCATCAAATAATCCAGTAGAGCAGACAAATCCAGAATGGTTTATTTATCAAGCTGCAATTTACTTGCCTTGTACTGTTAGTTCACTCATACAAGTAGGTCCATAGGTATGGGACTTAAGGATTAAGAGAATTACCGCATTGACTGTCTTTATCACAGAAAAGTTTATATACAGTCCCAAATTTACAGAATCTCATAAATAATTAAAGAAGCTAACATAACTTTAAATGTGTTTTCAAAAATTAGATGACCTTTGCAGCACATGACAACCCCAAGTCTAGAATCTACAGACATCACTAAATGCTGCAATTACTTCCTTGGAAGTTTTATGGTTTCTCAAAGTCAGCTGAGATTTTTGTTAGATGCATCTATGGCATCAATTTGAGAACCCTAGGTGACTTCTTTCTCACGTTATTGCATTGCAATACTGTCAGAAATCTTGACCTTTAACCTTGAGGTCGACGTCATTGAGATTAAAATTTGTCCAAGATTTTTAGAAGATGTACCAAGGGTATCAACTTGAAGCACCTATATTAAATTCACAAACTTCAAGGCCCACCTACCTTCCTGCCCGGCGGGGTGATGACAATACCTTTTACCGTTTAGGGGTAAAAAGCATGCTATGTCAAGTTGAGAATATGTGACCAAGTTGGCTAAATGTATTATTCAATCAATTTTGCAGTATTTGTTTGAATCTGAGAAGACATCATAGCCACACACTTCAGAATTCATTATACTGTTTTTATCAGCATTCACTGCAGTCACCTTCTCAATTTCCTTTTCCCATCATTCTAGTACAAGTTCATCTTGATTTCATCTTCCAAAGGAAAGGATTCTTTTTTTCCCCCAGAACTGATCGGGCTCCCCAAGAGGTTTTCTGGCTCTTTCAATTTTGAACTCCCTGTTCTTGAGTGTAACCAGTATTTGGACCTTGTTGTAAACCTTTATTCACAATCGTGAAGTAATCTCTTGATTGCAGAGAATGACAATCATAGGCAGATGGCTAGATGTTGTGTTTTTCTAAATCAAGGAAAGAGTACACAACAAGCATCCACTTTAGTTGTCTTCTGTGGCCAGTGAGCATGGCCAGTGCATTCCTGCTTTTTAGGAATGTACCACATCTCTGATATGGTCGCTACCAAAGTTCTTGCTTGCTCTGATAGATTTAAGTTGGTTTTTAAGCCAAATTATGGTCTGCTTCCTGTGCATCAAGATCAATGGACCTCATATTGAGAATTCAGGGGAAAAGATGCCAAATATAAGTTCAACCCTTGGAATCATAGCTGAATCTTTTATCAGATTACTTTATCATGCAATGATATGAGAACAGGCATCACCTGGTCATCAAACTTTTTGCAATACTTTTGTTAAACCCATTTGTTAAATTAAAGCAGTTACATATTGTTTGATTTCTTTTGTTCTTCCCAACATTACAATTAACAATCCACAATAGGTTCACAGCTACATGTGCAAATAAAAACAGTAGAAAGATGAAGATGAAAATCCCACAAACATTTTTTTCTGTTGTCATTTTGTTCAGCCACCAGATTTCACAAACCCACAACCATCTCATTGTTTATAGAACCATCACTTGTAAATATGCTTTCCTTCAGGAAATAAAGACAAAAAATGATCTGCATGAAGATTTTTGGAAACCTGGCACCTAATTAGGACCTGACT